ATTCTGAGGCCAAGCACAAGATGAATGGGACCTTTCTGAAAGTACTCAGAAGCTCCGTAATGAGTGCCTTATATATATTTTTTGTTATTTGTATCATGTCACTGAACTGGCCCACTGCCATTCTAAAGCAAGTATTAGTTTCCATGTATATTCAATTCATTCATTTTAGGACACTTTTTTGTATAAAGACTATAACATACTCAAATGTCATAAAAACTTAAAATCAGACCGGAGTTGTTAACCCCAGGATCCAGGAAATGACGATATGTTATACAGTGAGGAAAAAAAAAGTGTGCACACACATTATATATAGAATACAGAATAAAGACATCGTAACGTCAGACTATCTTGTGAGCAGTCAAATCACTGTAACTTTGGACTTGCTTTTCTTATTATCACAAAGTAATATATATGTAGTGGCTGTATAATTCACATTTCTGCCAATCAAAATGAGGGGATTACATCTTTCAAGAACAGTCAGCCCCATTTTAGGTGTCTCATGGGAGTAGAATTTAACTTTCTCAGCTTCCGATGCTTTTTTACGTAATAGCATGGTGCTCCTCTTTCACCAAAGACCTAGAGCATTCAGGCAGATGAGCTGCTTTGAATCCAGGTGAATGCAATCAGAAGGCAGAGACACTGGGTCATCGAACTGGAAATACATTTATTAGACTTTCAGCCACCTCATCCCATAAAGGCTGCCACGCAATGTGATTTAACAAGGAGGCGAGCTGGTATGTGGAGGGGTGTCCGTGGAGAACTCAGTAGACCCCCAGCCTGGGCAGCGCTTCCACCGCTTCTGAGTGCATCAGCTCCTCGCCGAGGCCCGCTTCTCCGCTTCCCTACTGACATCCGCATAACCACCGTAGCAGGAAACTGCATGTGAGACTCGATTGTCAGAGATCCGTTTGAGCTATTACATTGAGTTGTGCTGTGGACTAATTTTTGAAACACACTATGAATAGAAAGGAAGAAAACTGGTAAATTCTCAGGGCAATTCATACACCTTTCTTCTTCTTCTTTAGGAAACGATGCAGCATCCATTGTCAACTGTCTTCACATTTTGGGTCAGACCCTGGATGCAAGGTACACGGGTCCATTTTTATCTAAATCAGCGAGTATCGTAATGACATTGGAGAATATTAAAATGGGCTACTTGCCTTCATTATATTCTTTGGGACAGTACTAAAGATTTCGGTGTAGGTGAAAAGAAGAATCCTTGATAAATTACTAATATAATGGCATTTTGTTATTTTCACGATCGTATGTAAATCGTTAAATTTTAGTAATCTCTGCAGCATCTTGGCGTGTAACTAGGGCTGAGCTGGGAATATGTCCTGTGAGGGAAAAGTGGTAGTGATAGCTCTGGAGATCATGTGGGTGTCGAGGCACCGTGCCCGGCTCACGTGTGCGATAACATTTACTTTATCGGAACCATGAGGGTTTACTCTCAGGTTACAGATGTAGAGTGAAGCCTGAGACTGCCCAGTGAGTGGTGGTCAGCCAGCCCCGGTCTGTGCCCTTTCTCCTCTGCCTGCCATCAACACGATTGGCAACCCAGCATGTGGTCTGAACACAGAGTCAACCCATGTAGCATGACCGACTCAGCCTTCAGCCGCACATTAAGTTCATTTATTACCCATGACAAATCCAAGTGAAAGTTTCTGAAGGTCTCTTACAGAGAGTATTCCATGATTCCTTGGATAATCCAGGTTTGTGTTTAAAACTTTGTTTGAGGTGTTTTGTATAATAAACAGCGAAAGGAGATGCCATTGTGCACGTTCATTCTTACTGGCAATGGTGGCCCAGGAGTCTCCTTCTGCGCATGAGGAGAGGCTGGTATATCACTCTACATCTCCCCTCAAAGCACCGAACTCCCGTGTTATTTGATGACTTGGTGGAGTTGCCATCGAATGTTTCTTTCACAGACATTGCTCCGGAAACATTCTCCTTCGGTTGGATTTGGGATGAACTGAACTGGCTCAGCAGCTGTGTTTGCTTAGTTTTAGAATAAACACTCTCAGAATTTGAGACCTGCTAATGCAGGTGGAAAACTAGGCATTCGCCCTGCCCTCTGCTCTGAGGTTCTCTTGGAGTTGACTATGAAGGAATTTAGGATCAGTGGTGAATTACAGAGCAATGTGGCTAAACTCCAAGTGTGTGGAAGTGTTTGAGTGGATGTAAAGGCTGACGACTGAGCGTGTGCTGTGAGAACGCAGAGTGTGTTCCTGCTCACTGCTCCCTTCACGCCTGTCCTCTGTCCCCCCGCAGGACCGTCATGAAGACCGGCCTGGAGAGTGTGAAGGGCGCACTCAGTGCATTTCTGGACAGTGCAGCGGAGGACCTGGACAGGACCCTGGAGAACCTGAAGGAGGGCCAGTTCACGCACACCCGCAGCCAGCCGCGGGGCGTCACGCAGATCATCAACTACGCGACGGTGGCGCTGCTGCCTGTGCTGTCCTCCCTGTTCGAGCACATCGGCCAGCACCAGTTCGGGGAGGACCTGATCCGTACGTAGACCTGCACCTAGAGCCTCATTTCTAGCGGCCCAGGCAGCTATGGAAGCCACATCTGGGTCCCTCCAACGCTGCGTGAACATTAACCTGCTTGTTTTGCAGAACATTCTAGGTTGAGTGTGAGTTACAGAAACCGTTCTTGCAGAGGTAGACCGCCGAATCGCGTGACAGTCTTCCACGGTCCAAGTGCAAATTCCAAAGTCACTGTTCCGTGTTGTCTCTTCCCATGGCACTTGCTAACGCGGTCTGACCACGGGACACACATGTGAAATGTTTCCACTTGTTTCTGAGTCGATGCAGACCCTTTCCATGGCTGCATGACCAGCAAACTGAAGGCTGCTGAGACCATCAAGAATCCCCAGTAGGGGGCGTGCAGAGTCAGCTAATCAATGATTCTCTCTCATCATTGATGTTTCGATCTCTCCCTCTTCTTTCTTTCCTCTCTGAAATCAATAAAAATATATTTAAAAAATATATATATCCACAGAATGCCCAAGGTTATGTGGGAAAAAATAACGCATGACCTGCCCCAGTGTCCTGCCCTTGTGCTGACATGAACACGAGAGAAGGTGCGAGTCCTTGCCGTGCAGTCTCAGACCCAGCCGCTGAGATGCAGTGTGTAGGTCCCAGGGGCGTGCAGCTCTGCGCGAAACCCACTGCAGAGCTGGGTGACGACAAGGACACTGGCTGGGGGGTTTGCTGGAAGCAGCGGGAGCACTGCTTGCAGTGTGGCCATGGAAACCGTCTGGAGGACACGGTGGTTTCTCCATTGATGTCGTGTTTCCTGCAGGAAACAGGAGCCAAGTTAGAATTGGAAATTCAAGGTTCTTAGATTTCCTGCCAATAGACATCTTATTGGGTCAGAGATGATCTACCAGGTTTTGTTTGATTTTCTAGCTGCAGAAACCACCAAAGTGACTTACTTATACTGCACATGCCAGGTTGTGTCAGAAATAGTTAGCACACTCCGTCCCCTACCATTCTCATGCTGGTTCATCGAGACCTAAAATAAAAGGTGCCACCTTCATACCAGTATACCTTAGGAACAGGAGTCAAACACCTACCTGCCCTCCAAGTTACTCTTGTGTTACTTTTATCCTTGAAGAAATCTTTTATTCTTATACCTAGAGAAAAATTATAAAGAAATTATTCCTGATCATGTTCTGAATAATCACAGGGCTTCGTTAGAATGCTTTAAGATCCTGAAAGAAAAGAATTTTGTTTGAGAAAACCTTTTCGTATTTCCTTTTACATATTGTTTGTTCTTATGTTGTTTCTCTCAGACATTAAAATCTCAGCATACCTTTAATATGGAATTTTGGTTTTCGCGAAGCTTTCTCAGACACTGTGTAAATAACAAGTGTGTGTTTTTTTCATGCGCAATTCTCTTTTTCCCTAGTGGAAGATGTACAGGTGTCCTGTTATAGAATTCTGACGAGCTTATATGCTCTGGGAACGAGCAAGAGTATTTATGTGGAAAGGTAAAGTTTTAAATTTAACTTTGTCTCTATCACTGTTTTAAGTATTATAACTATTTCAAGTGTTACAAAAAGTCTTCGCTCTATAACTTTTTCCTTAGTTAGAAATTAAAGAACCAGATTCATTTTATGGATTCTTTGGGAGTAGATACACAGCCTTTAAGGTAAGTTTGATTTATGTTAGGGTTTGGCTGGTGACTTGGGCTGTGAAAGAATTCACAACTAAAAGGAGAGATGCAGAGAGGACATTGCATTTACTTTCCAGTAGCGGTGAGGGCGGTGTATTGCTAGTCGTTACAGGGCAGGGAGCAAAAGGGTAGCCTGCTCTTCAAGCTGTGACTATTGCCAAGCATCAAGAAAGGAAGGGGTCAGGGTTGTGTTGATGTTGAGCAGGTTACAGGGCTGTCTTAAAGAGTTACAGTGTGTTTGGTTTCCAGGAGACAGTCCAACAGATGTCCCAGGGAGGTGTCTTATCAGTATTTTCCCAAGCCTATAAAACATGCTTAGGGCAAAAGTTATGAAGAGTTTAAAAGAGGCTTTTTTTGAAGGTGAGGTGGGGAGGGAACTTTCTACTAACTAGAGACGCCTTCCTGCAAATTATCTGAGTGGTGAGGACAGCAGGGAGGAGGGTATAAAAGAATGTAGCCTCGAGAGTAGCTTATCCCACAGTTTGAACAGAGGAGCCAACAGTCTGGGGGTTAATTACCAGGTGCTTCCCATAAATTGTGGAAGACCACAGCGAGGAAGGAAGGCCTTTTTCCTATCCTTACAATAAAATAAAAGAGTTATGGGGGGAAAATAAAGCAATCTCAGTAACGACCATGTTTAATATAAAGCTTTAACTTAAGTGTTTATGAATCTGCTAGTGCAGGTTTGCAATGATAAAATGACCTGGAAGAATATAAAACTAACATTTTGAATATGAGTAAAATATGGTTTTTTTAATGAAAAAGTGACATAAGTGCTAATAAAAATATAGTAACTTTATTACAAGTCATCTAAAAGAAAAATGGCTATTTCCATAATACCAACACAAATGATCAGAGTTGGTCTGAGAATTACTACTTGAATAAAAAATTTAAATTATTAAATAATTGACAAGAATTATTAATGATAGACTAATCAGATGTAAGGGAATACATTGCTGACTTTGAAGTCATGCATGAAACATTTTAACCTATTAAATTCTTAAATAAGTTATTTCTCATTATTTTAAAACATTTATTTAACCCACATTATGTGCCTGAAATTTTGCCATTCTGCATCCTTTTTTTTTTTTTTAATCCCCACCCAAGGATATTTTTTTATACTGCTTTTCAGAGAGAGTAGAAAGGAGGGAGGGAGGGGGAAAGAGAGAGAAACGTTGACTGGTTGCCTCCCGCACTAGCCCTGACCAGGGGTAGGTAGTGAACCCACAACCCAGGCCTGTGTCCCCAACTAGGAATCAAACCCATGACCCCTTGGTGTGTGGGCTGACCCTCCAGCCTCCGAGCCACACTAGCCAGGACTTACTGTCTTGTAAGCTAAAAGATAATTTGGCTTTCTTTTTTAATGGCAGGAACTTTGTTATTGAAAGCATGTGATGATTTAGAATATAGAAATTATACTTGAGGGTTAATAGTATTAGCAGTACTGTTATTATCCCTCAGGTTAAACTGCCAGTTTTAATACACCTTCAGTTTCTTACTTGGGAGAAATAAAAATCACAAGCATTTCCCCTCCAGGCAGCGATCTGCAGTGGGCGAGTGTCTGGCGGCTTTTGCGGGTGCCTTCCCGGTGGCGTTTCTGGAAACTCATCTCAACAAACACAACAGCTGCTCCATCTACAATACTAGCTCCTCACGGGAGAGAGCAGGTAACGCAGCTGCAGGGGCAGCAGCTGAGACGCGAAGCCACGCATCATGTCACTTTCCGTTTGGGAAAATCTGGGTAGATAACCCCCATTTCTTTACTGCTCCAGTGGAGAAAGCTAACCGATGATTTCACGGATTGGCCTCTGAGAACCTACTAGAATTATCTGCTAGGATTTGAATTGAGTTGGGGGAGGATAGGGTAGGAGCGTGGGAAGGAGGGAAAAAGCTGACACACCTGCTAGGAGGAAGGGCAAGGGCCCAGTGGAGGCGAGTGGGCATGCTGAATCTTAAAGCCCAAACGGCATGGCTGTTTGTGTCTGTGACTTCAGTGACCACCATTTATTCTTGGGTGTGTTCCTCTAGCTCTCAATCTGCCAGCCAACGTGGAAGATGTTTGTCCGAATATCCCATCTTTGGAGAAACTGATGGAAGAGATTGTGGAGCTGGCTGAGTCCGGGATCCGCTACACGCAGATGCCACACGTGATGGAAGTGATCCTGCCCATGCTCTGCAGCTACATGTCCCGGTGGTGGGAGCAGGGGCCCGAGAGCAACCCCGAGAGGGCCGGGCTGTGCTGCACGGCACTGAACTCGGAGCACATGAACACCCTGCTGGGCAACATCCTGAAAATCATCTACAACAACCTGGGGATCGACGAGGGGGCCTGGATGAAGAGGCTGGCAGGTACGGGTTGGAAGGAGCGACTGCTTCAAGTTGTCTTATTTCCCAAAAGATTTGAAATACAGAAACTAGACTTTTTCTACCTCCGTCTTTATTAATATTGCTCCTGTGCTAAACAGTATTATCGTTGCTGTCATGCTGTTCTTTAAAAGGAGATATCAGACTGTGAGTGACTTCCCATGTGCTTTTAAGTAAGGAACCATTTTCCTTCTGACAACCTCTCTAAGGTCGATGAGTAAACACAGCAGCAAAAGCTAATGACTCTGCAGACAAAGATGAACCTGGGTTTTGAATCAGCCCCTCAGCAGTCTGTCCCCCAGGATGGGGGAGGATGCTCAGGCTGCCTCACATGTTCGCACTGCAGTGATGTGCCTTTGCCCTGCGTATGCGGAACAAGTGGAAGCAACATTAACGCTCACCGCTGGCCTGTGGTTACTAGTGGGCACAGCATAGAGCAGAATACAGGCCATCTTAACAGTAAGGTGTCAACAGTGTTTCATGACTTGGAAAATGCCCACAATAGCAAGGAGGATGAAAAGAAAAGGACTTTAAAATGGAATTCAGAAATCCATATAAATATATATATGTGAAATTACTTATTTATAAAAACTCCAGAGAAAAATACATGAACATCTTACTAATTAGGTAGGGTGATTATGGTTGATTTTAGTATTTCCCTTTTATACGTTTCTGCAATATATATGTGTTACCTTTAGGGGAAAAATTCCTTTTAAAAATGTCCTAATCACGTCTAGAATGGTTGCTAACAACCACAACTGTTCTTAAGTAAATGAGCAGTGAGTGTTGTATGTAATCCCCCTCTTTCCAGGACAGGATGGGGGTGATAGGGGAGGGAACGGTACCTTTGCTCATACACTGTGGAACAGTGTGCAGCTACTCTAAGGCAAGGGGACCTTTTCCATTTGGGGAATTTTCTTTTTTGTGTGAAAAGAGATGATTTGCAAAGTGAGTGAATATCTTTTCTTAATTTTTATTCTAAATTAGCTGTCAATCTTTTTTTAAAAAACAACAACAAGGAAGCACATCAAATTCAATTCCTAGTCAGTTGGGGACTAGACCCTGAGGCCACGGCTGACTCGGGGCAGACGTGCTGGGGAGGGCTCTCGCGGAGCCGCTGTTGTAATGACAGTCTGTCCTGGGGGACCTGACCTGTCTGCGGAGCTCAGCATTGCCGTCTGTCTTCACAGTGTTTTCCCAGCCGATTATAAATAAAGTGAAGCCTCAGCTCCTGAAAACTCATTTCTTGCCATTAATGGAGAAACTGAAGAAAAAGGCAGCTGTGGTGGTCGCGGAGGAAGACCATCTGAAAGCCGAGGCCAGGGGGGACATGTCCGAGGCCGAGCTGCTCATCCTGGACGAGTTCACCACGCTGGCCAGGGACCTCTATGCCTTCTACCCACTCCTGATCCGATTCGTGGACTACAACAGGTAGAATGTTCAAAGCGATTGATTTCTCTAATGGCACCCTGTCCTTGCTGGGTTCCCGTGTCCCGGACAAATGGCTTCATTCACTAACCTCTTAGCGATGAGCCTGTTCATACTCAGATGTTTCTAGATGCATTGTTTTGACGGAGCATCTTAAAATTACAACCAGAAAGGGCATTCTGAAGCAGGCCCAGTGTTGCAGGTAAAAGTTAGCAGTTGGACGGTTCCGGTGTTTTAGTTCACAGTGTCACCACTGCACACTTAGCCATCTGTGTTCTGCGGGAAGCCAGCATCCCTAAGTTACTTGGTTGCGTATTTAAATTTTAAGTTGTACCTGAGGAGCCACTTCATTGATTTTGTGATCCAGGGCGAAGTGGCTCAAAGAACCGAGCCCGGAAGCCGAGGACCTGTTCCGCATGGTGGCCGAGGTGTTCATTTACTGGTCCAAGTCCCACGTGAGTAGGGCAGCATGGGCAGGGCTTGCTGTTTGCAGGATGTTAAGGGCTTTCAAACATTTAACCAATTTTCCAGCCCCTTAGTGTTTCTCAAACTTGTCTCCTGGGGGTCACTTAACTGGCGAGGAGGGAGAATGCTCAAATACTTCACTTTGCCAGTGAGTCTGTGACCCGGAATTAAAAGTGAATGAAGGGATGTTATGGAACTTGAAAAAGCAGATGGAACGTCTGACTGGGTGGAAAGCTCCATCTCATTGTTGTGATCTATGTTTATCTCGAGACACACATGCTTTCCTGGCTAAACCAGGTCTGAGTAGTCATTCAACCCGAGGTAGCTATGTATCCACGTTACTTAAATCCTCTCACCCTTAGTTTCCTGACCTTTGAGACTTCGTATTTGTGTGCAATGCCCAGAACTGCCGCCCCGGGCAGGCGCCTTCATTGTATTCAACACATACATGTTCCCTTTCTTGATGAGTCTTACATATCAAGTTAACATTTATCTTCCTACGAACTTCTGGTCACATGGACTTCTTATTTATGTGATTGTAACTGGAATTTACTTTGTGACTTCTCAGAACTTCAAAAGAGAGGAGCAGAATTTCGTGGTCCAGAATGGGGACCCAGGACTGATGTACTCATGGATGGTATGACACGCAAACAGAACTATCAGGGAGGAAGAAGTTGTGACTCAGTGTCCCTAGGAACAGAAGGCACTGCATAGAGAGGGGTGTGTGGGGAAGCCCAGGGTTGGTCAAGAGCAGAGGTAGTGAGGGGGAAGCGTGGGCAAGAACCTTTGCTGAGGCTTCTGCAAGAAGGAGCAGGTGAGACAGGTGAGCAGGTGTGAACCTCGTGTGAATCTTTTCAGGGCTCGGGGGCTGAGGGGCAGGCCCTGGTTGGCTGGACCTGGCCCATGTGATTAGGGCAGGTAGAGTGGGCCCAGGTTGAGGAGGTGATTGGGGAATCTGGACTCTGGACTCAGAGAGACCTGAGGAGGCACGGCTGTCCTCAGGTGAGGTCATCTCAGATATTTATGGGACACTGGTCAGTATACCACGTCCGTTTCCCTAGATGGGGGGCCCTGGGCAGACAAGACTGCAGGCCACACAGAAGGGAGTGTACTTTGTAATAGTTTTATGGATACAGAGTGTGTGTGTGTGTGTGTGTGTGTATTGCAAAGCAGGCATTTGTCAAGACAAAAATACACCATTCATTCTTAAATTTTCTTCTTAAGTATTGAAGATTATAAAACATACAATATCTAAAGTTACCATGGAATGTTCATATATCCGTATCTTCTCTAGAATTACAATGTGCATTTTCCTTCTAAAATTATAAAGAAATGCACACCAGTGAATTGTAATGACTTGGGAATCGAGAGTAGGACTTAAAATTAGAAGGAAAAAGAAAAAATGTCCTCAGTAGGATTTTAAAACATAGCGACCAGCAGAGAAAGAGGAAGTGGAGCCCAGAGAGGGCCAGGTCCGGAGCAGAGCAGCGCCTGACCCCAGCACCCGTCCGTCTACAGGCCGCTGTGTCCGACCAGGAGAGGAAGAAGATGAGGCGGAAAGGAGACCGCTACTCCGTGCAGACCTCCCTCATCGTGGCTGCGCTGAGGCGGCTGCTGCCCATTGGGCTGAATATCTGTGCCCCCGGAGACCAGGAGCTCATTGCTCTGGCCAAGAACCGGTTGAGTATGGTGAGTTCCTTCTCGCAGGGCTGCAGCGTCCCACCCCCAGCTCACGGGGTTTGCAGGCCTATCTCCCAGGGCTCTCTCCACTGCTCATCTGCAGTGAGTGCTTTATCAAGTGGTTTCTGCACAGGCCCTGAACTCAGATTTAATGGCTGCCTATTGTTTTTGTTTTTTGGGGGGGAGGAAGGGAGGCTGATTTTATTTCTAAATTATGTTAATCACCTTCAGGGCACATTCAGGACCCACATGGAAAAGATACAGACAAGTCACAGGTAGTGAGAAAAATGGATTTCATTTGGATCCCTATATAAGATTTTTGATGAAGGGCGATTTTTCAGTGCTAGGAGCAGCCATGGTGAAGTGCGGTGTTGACTTTTAAACCAGCAGCTTTTTGCAAGCATTGAGATTTACGTTCTCAAGATTTCTTTATGGCCCGTTTTCCATTGTCAAGGCTATGCTTATGAGGATGCAGCTTTTCAAAAGCGTACATGGGCCTATTGTTTTTGTATTTGTGTCAATTGGAGGCCTCGCTCCTGCCCTGGCAACTCTGAAGCTCCCTGAGTGTGTCTGGAGTTGAGCAAATGAGCGAGGCTGGCGAGTGGCTATGGTCTGCTGAGTGACCCTGAGGGCCGCCTCCAGGCACTGCATGGTGCACACGTCATAGGTGCTCAGTTACTCTGCACATTTTGGGGAGAGACTCAGTTCTGTGTGAACCCCAGGGAGCATGATGCTTCCCTTCTTGTTGTGAACTGGAAACGGAGCTCATTGCATCTCGATGCACTTACTGTGGAGGTCACACAGCTGTTGTTTCTAGTCAGAGCAGCAGCGACAGAGTAGCCGACAGAGCCCCAGATCTGTGGCCTGCAGCCAAAGCCTGTAAAAATACTGTGCAGACGTACACTGCTTCCAAAGAGGTGTGCATGATTTCCATCCACTTACAGCAGTGACACTTCACAAGACTTCTAGGTAACATTTATTTCTTGACAGAAAGACACTGAGGATGAAGTCCGAGATATAATCCGCAGTAATATTCATTTACAAGGCAAGGTAAGCCACATTTGTTCTAAAGCACATTTAGTATCTATACACTGGCTATTCTCTCTTTAGAATAGCACTCAGAGTAATGTTATTTTAGCAGTTGACACATTGTGGACCAGTAGTTTTATTGCTAGCTTTACCCAATGGCCAGATAAGTTTCTGTTGAACAAGTACAGAAAATGTTTTACATAAATATTAAAGGCACACTTTAAAATTAAATACCCATGGCATTTTGAAGTTATTTATTACATGTTCTTATAAACTGATATCTTTTTAAATTATGACACTTTTGTAAAACACTGTGTAATATGAAGCGAGAATTCTTGTGATCCGTCCTCAATGTGTTAAGTGAAAATATATTATTTTAACCAGTCATTATCCTACTTGAAGTCCTTTGATATTAAAGACCCTCAAAATAACAAATGTATTTTTAAAGTCGATCATCAGAAACTTCGCTTGTTTAGGGAAATCTTTCCAACCACCACCAGGTTAGGTTAAGCCTCCTGGTGCCTTATGTTTCTTTGCAGTAGCCCTCATCACAGCTGCAAACACGTGTTTCATGTTTGTCTTCGCACAAGATGATAGATTTCTGAGTGCAGGTCCCCTGGGTCTTGATCTTTGCGTGTGTTCAGACACTGTGCTATGCACATGCATGACTGCAGACCCCCCGTCAGCAGCGCGTCCCCCTGTCAGCAGTGCGTCCCCCTTTTTACATCGTAACCTGATATTTCCTGCGCTTTCCTCTCTGCTCCGCAGTTGGAGGATCCTGCTATTAGATGGCAAATGGCTCTTTACAAAGACCTGCCGAACAGGCCTGAGGACAGTGCCGATCCCGAGAAGACGGTGGAGCGAGTCCTGGACATAGCGAGCGTGCTCTTCCATCTCGAGCAGGTCAGACTGGCTGCTGATTGGGTCTGGTTTGCCCCGCCCATCGATGGTAGAGAGGATGTGTGTCAGGCTGTTAACCACGTCCAAACGGTCCTATGCTCGGCACACTCATCATAAAGAACATAGGACTCAGGGGTTCTTAGCATGTAGCGTGTACAAGTTCTAAGCTTATGATTTTTGTAGCTATGTATAGACAATGTATTCAGAGAGATTAACACCTTTATTTTATTATTTTATTCAAAATAGTTCCAAAATAACACAGAGAGAACCCACAGTGAGTGTCCTCAGCCGTTGGGCCTCATGACAGCACCTGCCTGACGGGCACATAAACTAGTAAAATGCCCTGACACCCCGGAGTTTTGTCATCTAAACGTTTTGCAGAACATACTAGTAGCACATTAATAAACATTTTCCTTGTATTCCTGTTTTATATTATCTGATGCTCTCCTGTCCCTGACCTGCCAGTTAAATAACACTACTGCCTTGGGCTTCATCACTACGATGAGATGAAACTAGGTACTCACACCGTATGGCTACTGACGTCATTTACATTCTGTAACACCATAATATGAGTAATACAATGTAATATGATAGAATATAATATAGGAAATTTAACATGTCCCTATTTCCATAATATTTTCATGAAACAGTAAATAAATACAAATCAGCAGATGACAAGATTTGAGGTAATGATATCTGAAGTGCTATATAAAGTCAGAGTTGTGTTTCCCGAATTATGCATATATTTAAGTAGATAACTAAATGCTAATTAAATGGCCGCAGGGGACGATTTTTGGTGTCATCACACTACCATAAGTCTTTTTTAAAACTATATTTTACTGATTTTTTTACAGAGAGGAAGGGAGAGAGATAGAGAGTTAGAAACATCGATCAGCTGCCTCCTGCACACCCCCTACTGGGGATGTGCCTGCAACCAAGGTAAATGCCCTTGACCAGAATCGAACCTGGGACCCCTCAGCCTGCAGGCCGACGCTCTATCCACTGAGCCAAACCAGTCAGGGCCATAGTTTTTAATTCTTCCTAGGTTTCATGTACATGTCTGGATTTGCTTGAATGAATTTGTTTTCACTGGCAGGGTTAGAGCCCAGCAGTGTTTTGTCTCCCTTCACAAGGTCCTTGAGAAGAACTGAACGTGGGTCGTTGTCAGAAGGTGTTCACTGAGCCTCTAGAGCAGTGGTTCTCAACCCGTGGGTCACGACCCTTTGGCGGTCGAACAACCCTTACACGGGTTGCCTCAGACCATCCTGCATATCAGATATTTACATTACGATTCATAACAGTAGGAACATTACAGTTATGAAGTAGCAACGAAAATAATTTTATGGTTGGGTCACAACATGAGGAACTGTCTTTAAAGGGCCAGTGGGTCGTTGTCAGAAGGTGTTCATTGATGCTCTAGAGCAGTGGTTCTCAACCTTCTGCTCCCAGAAACAAGCGCCGCCCAATTACATAAGTTGCTTTGTTAACATTTCTAAACCACTGTCGCCCAGACATCCTTAACGTTTTCTCCAAGCATTAGCACATTCATCTTTTGACGGTTTACTGCAAAGGGTAGTAAACTTAGCTTTTTTTTTTTTTTTTTTTTTTTTTTAGCTAACATAACATTTTTATTTCTTCCAGAAATCTACATGTATGCGTTGGAGATGTTACAGTATGGGAAGTACAGTGTTCACTTGCCTAGAGATTACTGATTAATTTAGAATTACATGTTGGGACTTTTCTCTCTAATACTTATGATTAATCTCTTTTTCTCTCTCAGAGTTCCGAACACCGTTAGCTAAATAAATAACTCACTTGCATCATTTACTACAGCTTTCAAATTCTCATTTGTCCCTATCTAACAAAATATATATTTTAACATTTTTGCAAAATTAAACCTTTTTAGTTACTCCTAGTAATGTGTTCCTGAAGCCAGGTCATCTCCTTCCCATCCTGTTACACTGATGGACAATAGGCTTTTCATGAGAATTCCCCTTGACTGCCTCTGTGCTCACTGCTGTAGTGCTTACGATGAATTAGTGAAAATGGATCCAGGAGTAAAAGTGGGTTAATTTTTTGTGTAGCCAGAGAATATGTTTTAGAACCATAACCAAATTCTGAAAGGATACAAACTGATAGTTTAGAGAATGGTTTTCTATTTCTTTGATTTTAGAGATGACATAGCTTCTAAAGTACACACTATTGGGAAAACATTTTATTTTTGTGGATAAAAATATATAACATTTCAAAGTATTTCAAATTTAGGACATGGGCTTTTCCATAAATGTAAAGTATTTTTTGGAATTTAAATTGCAGAAGATTTTCGCTAAAAGGCATGGCTGTCCAGCAAGCTTTGAGGCTCGCTCGGGTTCACGGGCTGTCTGTGTCTTCCTGCAGGTGGAGCACCCTCAGAGGTCGAAGAAGGCCGTGTGGCACAAGCTGCTCTCGAAACAGCGGAAACGGGCGGTCGTGGCCTGCTTCCGCATGGCCCCTCTCTACAACCTGCCAAGGTCAGGACTCTCCCATGGTGGCTGTTGTTTCTTAGTCCTCACCCAAGGATATGTTTGTTTATTTGAGAGAGAGAGAGAGAGAGAGAGAGAGAGAGAGAGAGAGAGAGAGATGTGTGTGAGAAACATCATCACCTCCTGTAAGCGCCCCAACTAGGGGTGGAATCCACTTCCCGGGTATGTGCCCTGACTGGGAATTGAACCTGCATCCATTTTGGTGTACGGGACAACACTCTAACCAACTAAGCCACCCAGCCGGGACTCACGTTTATAACAGAAGAAAATTAGTTTTCCCTAATAAGCGATGGGGTCTACCATCTGTCTTAATATGAGTACGATAGTACAAGAGAAGAATAGATGTATTGGCTCTTGTGTCTAATCATTGACCTTGATTTTCTTGGTTGGGAACCCTCAGAAAACTGTGGTCTGCAATACATTTATTAAATGACCTCCGTACGGAGGCCGTGAGGCGGGTAGTGTGAGACGACCTTGACCTAATTGTGAGGCTAAGATAGTGGTCAAGTTTCTTACCTGACTTCATTGTAGTTTTCTCTCTGAACCGTAAGATCTGCCTCATAGACTTGTTCCGATTATTGAAGGGGCTGAGACACACAGAGTGCTAGAACTGACCTTGCCACAGTGATGATGATTCTTTGGGGGAAAGAGCTGATATGGAACCAACTTATGGGAGTGAAGGGGACCCGTTTGACTGCTCATCGCCTTCTCTTAGAGGCGGGCAGGCCCTCTTGTTAGCAGAAAAGTGACGTGCGCATCCAGTCTCTCAGTGCCCAGGGTTCCTCCGCAGCCTCTTACCCTAAGACACTGCTCTTCCCTCTCTGAAGTTGGTACGAGGGCGTCCTCCACATCCCATGGTAAACAGGACCCTCACAGTGACATCCGACCACGCCCTCATTGTGCAGGATGAGCGCTTCCTCCTTGTTCCGGGGCGCCATGGCCACCGCTGCCTGGAGCACCCCCTTCAGTGCTGGCTGCTTGTCTCTCTGATTCAAATTTGGATTCTTTAGACTTTTGTCCAGTTTTATACCCTCAGCACCTAGCATGCTGGCAGTCAGTAAGTGGATGGATGGGTGAATGAGTTTATGCTGTGAGGGGCGTCACACTTTCCTTGTCACCGAGACCTCCGCGGCTTAGCCATCGTGTCACACTGCGTATACAGCCAGGCGCTGCTCCTAAATTCTCTGACTCGACCACGGTGTCACCGTTAGTCCAGTGGAACGTCCCTCTCTGGTTACTCCGTGTGGCCCCGCTCTGTGTCTCAGCCGTTTTCTCTGAACTGTTCTCGCCCCTTCCCCACGGCACCTCCTGACGCCCTGGCTTCCTGCCTCCTGTCAGGTGGTGGCAGCAGATCCCGAGCTGGCGTCTCCAACACTGTGTTTGAAATTGTGCTTCTCTCGTAGGCATCGGGCCGTCAATCTTTTTCTTCAGGGGTATGAGAAGTCCTGGATTGAGACAGAAGAGCATTACTTTGAGGACAAACTGATAGAAGACTTAGCGGTATGTCTCTAATGGGCGTGTGCAGTGAAAGGGCTCTGGGCCCCACGTGTGAGCAGTCACCGTGCAGCATTGGAGAGAAAACCTCGTCGCAGAGTATAGGTCCTGGGAAACTTTGTTCTCACTTGTTAATGCATCCCGTGTTTAGGGGAGAATTCCGGGTTTAAGGTCAATTATGCAAGTTTCTTACTAACTTCGAGAGGGAGTATTTTGTTACCCTTTTAAATTCATCTTCAAGGCACCTTTAAACACCTCAGAACCAGGATAAAACTATAGAAGCTGAACCATAAAGAAGTTACTCACCAAACATAAGTTGAAGGTGAACAAAAGCAAGTGAAAAGTAGTGGGTTTTTTTTTCTAATATATTTGTATTGATTTCTGAGAGGAAAGGAGAAATAGAAGCATCAGTGATGAGAGAGAATCATTGATCAGCTGCCTCTTGCATGCCCCACACTGGGGATCGAGCCTGCAACCTGGGCATGTGCCCTTGACCGGAATCAAACCTGGGACCCTTCAGACTACAGGCTGATGCTCTTATCCACTGAGCCAAACCAGCTAGGGCAAAAGTAGGTGGTTTTAAAAAAATGCGCAGAGCTGAGCAGGATAGAGTGGGCACAAGCAGGGTCGAGTCACAGGGATGCTGTGGAAGGCAAGGGGGTCCTTAGCCACAGCACGCGGGGAGCAGGCTCTGGGGACCTCTGTCCATCGTCCACGGGCCGGGGGCCTGTCTAAGCATCTGACCAAAGCCAGCTTCTCGGGGCGAGTTGTAAGCGTGCTGTCGCAGACGTTGCAAACAAATTAGAGTCTAAAGGTTCCCAGCATAAGACCTCTCATCTAAAAGGCACTTCTTTGTCATAGTTATCAGGGAATATAGTGGATAAACCAATTCAGTGCATAAAAGCTGAATCCCGATGACCCTCAGATATTTTAATTGAATTCAAATTGTCTTCATAATTAAAACAACCATAGAATATTGGCTACATTGTAGAAATTTACCCAGTTTCTGCAACATTAAAATCTTAAAGCCAGGGAAAAAAACATCATGTACGTACAGAGAAAACGCAAGTGTAAGTAAGTAAATGAAAGTATAAAATTCATTGTCATTCAACAAAAAGTCAGGGTTAATGAATTTTACAGTCAGTAAAAATGCTTCATAATTTTCCTCATGGTAAAAGACCTATCCAATAGTACAAACTTATTTTTTAAGTCTTAAGAGTAAATGATAGTGGAAAAAAATAACTGACATACACGTATTCACACACTCACATGTATACAACTTACACAGTCATGCACACTCACATATACACTTATGCACACATGCTCACCCACATATTCACATACTTGTGTGCACGCACTCATGCACACACACACATTCATACACATTCACGCACATTCACACTGCCACAGCAGAGAAGGGCTTTCCTATACTCATTGTTCCAGCCCTCACACTGCTCCTGGGTCTGATTGGACGCCTCATTGCAATGTGAATTTATAAATTTACTTTTGTAGAAACCTGGAGCGGACCCTCCAGAGGAAGACGAAGGCACTAAGCGAGTTGATCCTCTGCATCAGCTGATCCTTCTGTTCAGCCGAACGGCCTTAACGGAGAAATGGTATGGCTGGCCAGGGTCGTGTGAGACAGGAGAGGACGAAGGAAGAGCCGTGTCCCGAGTCTCTTCCTGTCTTCACCCTCCGTGTCACCTGGGCTTGTCAGGAGAGAGCCCGTCAGAGTTAGGACCAGTCGGACACACAGATGTCAGTTTCAAGCTTTAATATCTCCTCTAGTTTTTCTTAACAACTTTGTAATTAGCTGATTTAGTTGATTCTGAATCGTCTTACAAAATGATTTTTTTCTCGTTATCACAAGCAGCCTTTATCAATAAGAAGAAAAAGAGCTTAAAGCAATATTAGTACCAAAAACATATGGAGACCAGTAGTGACGAACTGTCCCGGGTCGATTATGGTGCCACTGTGCAGGAGACCTGAGGGGGTGGGTAAGCCAGCGTCTCACAGGGAAGTTTTTTCGCATCTGTTTTAAGGGCATCCTCCATTTTTCTTGACTAAAATTCACCAAAGCCACAAAACACAGACCTCTGTGGAGTTAAATAGGAAATGCACTCAGAGACCTGAGACTCACAATGTGCCCAGCACCTGCCCCTACAGGCCCTGCGGAGACGGGCTCCGAGAGAGACACCTCCGAGGGTCCTGAGCGGTCCTGTGGCCGGAGTAACACACATCTCTCCCTCTCACCACGGCGACCGGCCTCCTCTCACGCCTTCCCCCCTATTATTTCCTGACTAGCAAGGTCATCTCATCCCTTTGCCTAGAGCAGCTCTCTGTCTGGCATTGCAGGCACTGAGGTATTTCTCACAAGTGAAGTTTTCTGATGGCTGAAGTTTAAAGCTGCTAAAATAGCTTTGTAAACATGAGTGTTTTTCTGGGCTCCTTCATCAGTTAATGGCTTCCGTATTCCTTAAAAAAAGGATCATAAACATATTTAAACTATTCTTAATTTTTAAGTAGCATTATGATTTTATAGCATAATTGGGAACTCTTTCTCTTTTTAATCCTTGAGGACATTTTTCCATTTATTTTTAGAGAGAGTGGAAGGGAGGGAAGGAGGGAGGGGGAAAGAGACAGAGATAGAGAGAGAGAGAGAGAGAGAGAGAGAGGGAGAGAGAGAGAGAGAGAGAACACGATGTGAGAGAGACGTATC